GGAGGGAGGGAGGAGGGAGGGAGGACCCTGGGTATGTCCTACAAGCAAAATAGCCCACGTCATTTCCCCCTTTTCTCCTCCCTGCTTTTCTCCTTTCCTCGGCAGTCAACTGGTCGATAGGTATATTTCCCTCTTGGAGGAGGACGGGAAGGAGGGAGGGCGGGAGGGCGGGAGGGAGGGCGGCTTCGTTGTCGACGTCCACAACGACATGCGGTTCCTGACCCTCGAGGCAGTCTCCCAGGCCTCGTTCTCGCTCCCTTTGGGTCTGCTTGGGAGAGACCGGGGAGAGAGTCTGGAGTACAGGTAGGGAGGGAGGGCGAGAGGGCGGGTAGGAGGGAGGGAGGGAGGGCGGGAGGGAGGGAGGAGCAGAGACGTGGATTGTAAGCCCTGTCGCTCACATGTCGACGCCTTCTTCCTCCTACCCCTCCCTCAGCACCAAGGGGCTCTCTTTCACCGGTCGGCGGGTGGACAGGCTCGTGCGGGACAATTTCCGTCTACTGGGCGAGAGTATCCGCTTTCCTTTGCCGGGGGCGCATCGGATCGGCTGGAATAAGCCGTACAACCGGCTGCAGAAGGTAGCGCGGGAGGGGAGGGGAAGGGAAGGGGCGGGGGGAATGAAGAAGCGGAATGATGTCAGGGTCGTTTCTATCAGAGACCATCCTCTGACCCTCCCTCTGCTTTCTATCAGAGAGAGCTCGTAGACCCTCCCTGCCTTGTAGTCCTCGAGATCATTCCTTTCTTCGTTTCCTTCGCGCCATATCTTTTCTTGTGTATTCTACCCCCTATGTCGCGAGTCTTTCTCATGGCCCTCCGCCCTTCCCAGGCCTCTCTCCCACGTGCGTCCGTCGTTTATGGGCGATGCTTCTTAGATAGAGTCTTTTCCTTTCGCATTCCTCCCCCTCTTGCTCCTTTGCTCCACCAACTGTTTTTTTTTTTCCCCTTTCAAGCTCTGGGCTTTCGTTTGCTCACACTTTCCTTCCCTTCTGCTCACGCTTTCTTTCCTTTTTTACTCAACCTTAATCTCAACCTTAACCCTAATTTTTCAGGTCAATGCCGAGCTCCTGGGAATCGAGAACGCGATCATTGAGGGCCGCCGCCTCGAGAGGGAACGTATCAGGTACGGGGTCGGGGAAGGAGGGCGGGGGGGAGGGAGGGAGGGAGGTAGGTAGGGAGGGAGGGAGTGGTCAAGAGGGTGGTAAAGGAAGCAAAAAGGGAACTCCCCTGGCAATATCACCACTCAGTGCTCCTGTCGCACGTATTCCGGACTATACATGCCTGTTCGCCGCCCACCCTGCGTGAAAAAGCCCCTTTCTTAATCCCTCTCACGCTCGTTCCTTTGCCTACCCCACGCCCGCTCCCTTCCTCTCCCTTTCCTGCTCAGGTCCGAGGGCGGGGCGCTCACGGCGTCCCGCGATCTGTTGGACGTGTACCTGGAGGCCATCGAAAGTGAGTACCCCCAAGGTCGCGCGTTCTCGACCTCGGGTGCATTTAGGGTATATTTAGTGTATCTATTCGAGTAAGACGTCTACTTGTGTGCATGCGATACTTGTGTGCACGCACTCAATCGGGCCCGTGTCCCTCCCTTTCTCCCCTGCCTTCCCTGCCTTTTCCAGACGAGGATTTACCCCTCTCGAACGAATCCATCTTCCGCAATTTGAACGACATTTTCATGGCGGGCTCCGACACCACCGCCACCACCATCAGCGCCTCTCTCTACGAGGTAAGACCTTCTAGAGGGATGCTTTCCGCTCCGAAGGCGCATGGGGCACCGGGAAGCCCGGTGGATAGAAGGAGGCAGGAGGAACGTCATGTGTTCGATTCTGGACGGGATTTAAAGAGAGTAAGAGGAAGGAGAGACTTTATTGTTGGGGGGTAGGAATTGTGGTGTGTCGGTGGCCACCGCATTCGCAGGTTGCTTCTTGGCTTCAGGCATGACGAGAAAGAGAGGAGAGGGAGGAAAAGCGGGCATGAGACACGCAATGGGCAGCGCAACGCTAGAATTCATAGACCGTATTCTTTGTGTGAAAGAGATTCATTGCATGGCCAGGGCACTCGGTCTGCCGGAGGGGGAGAGGCTGGCTGTTGGGGTTAGGATGAAAGTCACCCTGGTAGGGGGAAAAAGCCGGCGCCCCCTTGGCTCCCTCCGTCGTCCTGGTCTAAATTCTGTCATCGGTTCTTCCTATCCCGATGTCACCCTCAGGCTCTTTCCTATATATATAAGCCTTTATATTCCCATTCAGAATCTCCTCACCCTTCAAGTCATTCTTTCCGGCTGACCTCCTCGTCTTCCTCCCACCTTTCTCTGTCCCCTCTTTCCTGCCCCGCCCTGGATCACTTCCTAGATTGTTCGACGTCCCGACGTCAAGGCGAGGGTCTTGGCCGAGCTTGAGAGCTTGGACCTGAGCGATCCACAGGCCATGAGCCCGTCGCAGCTGGCACAAAGGTAATGGTCGATTTTTCCTCCACGTGTTCTTACCCCTTGCTCTTCCGCACTCATCTCTGTCTGATTCTTCGTTCATTTCACACCGTCCCTCCCTCCCTCCCTCCCTCCTTCCCACCCTCAAGGCTGCCCTTCTTGGACATGTGCATCAAAGAGACCCTCCGCCTCTTCCCCGTGGCTGTCAATCTGTCCCGTGTCGCCGCGCGGGACACCGTCCTGGGCGGTTTTCACATCCCCAAGGGTATGCCTGACGTCGATCTTCAACGTCGCTCCCTCGCGTCTCTTCTCTCTTTATTCTTCCCTCTGCGTTTCTTTCCATTGGTGCGGGCGCCCGCCCTTTTCTTCCTTCTAATCCTTTTCTCTATTCCAATGTCTACGACAGGCGCCACCGTCGCGCCCTGTATCCGACTCCTCCACTTGGACACTGCCACCTGGGGGCCTGACGCCGCCGAATTCCGGTGCGTTTCACTTGTTCTTAGGAGAAGGATAGTCCGTCTTGAGCCTGTACTCATGTTCTATCCCTCTGCCCCCACCAATTTTTGATGCGCATCTCTCCCTGCTTGGTTGCATTCTTTTGTCTGAGTCGCTCCCTCTCTTCCCTGCCTGCGTCTTTCTTTTTTCCCGGTGCTTCTTCTCCTAATCCACTCGCATTTCCCTCTTTACGCACCATCCATCTCTGCCTTTGTCGGCCTGTTTACCCTCCCCAGTCCGGAGCGGTGGGCGAGTGAGAATTTGGAAGGCGGTCTGCCCAAAGGTGTCCCTCAGGGCGCTTACCTAGTAAGTCCATAGATCGATTATACAATTGAAACCTTAATACAAGGCTACCACCATCCCGTTTCTCTTGGACTTCGGTCGTTTTCCCAAGAAATCCCTCAACCCCACCTCCTCCCTTCCTCCTTTCCTCCCCCCCTTCCTTCCTCCCTCCCGTCCTTCCTGCCTCAGCCCTTTGGCGCTGGTCCCCGCGTATGCTTAGGCCTTCGATTTGCCTTGCTGGAAGCCATGACGGTCAGCGTCACCCTCCTTAAAAAACTGGATCTGGAGGTTGTAGACCCTAAGTGAGTGCGAGGAGGGATGGATGGGATAAGATGGGGGAAGGAGGGAATGACATTTGACCCAACGCCTTGTTTGAAAACGAGAAAGGGACCGAATATATTTGCATTTTCGACGAGCAACATCTTGTATATTTAAGAGGAAGGAGACGAAAAACTCTAAAATCGAGAGAGTGGGTGACAAAGATGAGATCCTTGCTCTGTATAGTTCAAGTCAAGATTGAGTCGAGGTCAGGCATTCCACCCGTGTAGTCATCTATCTTGCCATCTTGTCATCGCACTTAAAAGCCAGTCTCTCTTTCCACCCTTTTTCCGCCCTCCCCTTTGTTTTTTTCGCGGCGCCAATCATCATGGGTAGTCGCGATTTGGACGTGTATTACCCCGCAGCCATGTCCTTTCGCGACGGGGTGCAGTTGCGGATTGGAGGCCTTCGATGATCGACGAGAGGAAAAGTACCGGCCCATACAGAGCCAAGCATTTGTTGTATTTGCTTGCATATCATATAAGAGGGAGTGGATCATTGGAGTTGCAGGCCTCATTTTTGGACGTGAAAGAGTTTGATAATGTTGAAAATATTTTCCCGATTGTTGGTCAATATACGCAGTTGAATTAAGCAGTTGATAAGCTGAGGGACCCCGGTAATCATGAAGGAAGATTGCAGATCAGTTGTTTAGATGCTTTCTAAACAGAAAATGTAAAAAGAATATGCTTCACATGGTTGTGTGCGCGTAACCCGCTTTGTAACGCTTTCTTCAAACTCTCCAACGGAATTTTGTTGACTTATAGGATCCCAACAAGGCGATCTGACCCTTTCTTTGTTAGAGAGTGGATTTGATTTTGGTTGAAGATGTGAAGGAATTCTAAAACTTGCAAGTGGAGCAGCTTGCCGGAGTTTTGACTTGACGTGGCTACGCCATGGGCCCCAACGTTGGGCGAAGCTACATGTCAGCATCTAAGCTAGGTGATAATGGCCAGCGAAATGGCTTCAATCAGATACTTCGGACATCTTCGCCACAAAATCTCTCTTCTTTTTTGCAGAGGAGCAAACGAGAAAAGGTTCGGCTTAGGTAAAATGTCAAATCTCATGTCTCTCTTAGGAAGACCAAAAGTGTTCTATACATTCCCGCTCCGCTCAGGCTTCGAAAAGTGAAGGGGGAAAAAAATTGTTGGAAAAGTGCAGAATGCTGTTACAAGTATCCTTGAGCCACCTTGAAGCTTATGATGAAAAAGCTGACTTTGCATCCGCCTCGACACAGCACCACGCACAAAGTTCCTTGGGAGTCGTAAGTGTACGGGACTCGAAATCTCCGGGTTTTGGCGAAGCTTCAAACTTCAATGCTGCTACCAAATAAGCCCGAGTGATACCAATGGGGTGAGATGCAGTGGCCTCTTGGACAGTTTTGAAGACCTTTGATCTTCAATTTGGAAAGCTAAGACATTAAATGCACAGCATGGATGAAATGAAGCACGGCTTTCTCGATAAACTGTCTAAAATCGCGCTTCTCCCGGCTAGTGTGAGCTACCTTAAGGTAGCTTAGGGTAATACCTTTGTTTCTCAAGATCCACCCAGACGAGATATCGAAGTACACACCTTGCTCAAAAAGGTGCTGAAGTATAGCAAAGGTCGATACAGAGCTGTTTTATGTAAGATATGATGCTGCTTTGATCTGTGTTACGCTACGAAAGACCTACTCTCATACCTATAAAATCATGTCTTCACACGTGCGGTGGCAATACACTGTGAGTAAACGGCCGAGGATAAGCCGAAGTGCATGCATGGCTTTGTGAAATATTCATCACTTTGGTTGCATGTTATTACTTCCTATTTGTAGCCGACTTATCTTTGATTCAGTCTGTTTCTTTTCTCCAAAACGACATTGCCTCTGCACCTGTGAGGCATCCATGATCCTTACAAGCCCCCCCACTCTCTATTGGCAGGGCTTTTATTGCTTGTCATGGGCCCCTTGGGACGGAATCGAGCCGATCTTACCGGCTCCACAAACAATATGTCCAAGTTCAGGTACCATAAAGGGGTAGATAAGACGAAGGGGGAATGGTGTGACATAGAATTTAGTGGAAAGGGTACAATTGAATCAAACCAAAACCTATGGATGCTATTGCCATCGAATTTATTGCCCGTCGGTGACGAATGCATGTACTTCTCACACACATGCCCTTGGATCACGCAGAAACGATGCTAGGATGCAGGCCCTCGCAAAGGCTGTACAAAGGGGGGATCGGGCAGGCATGAAAGAGGTGATGAAAAGAAATTATATAAATATACACGGGAAATATGGGGGAATATCCTAAGGAAGGCGGGAATGCAACAAGTGCCTTTCAATCCTCCGTATCAGGAGCTCAGTATTCACGAAGTTTTCTCTCGGACTCCCTCAGATCATCAGCAACCGCAGTGAGAATAGTAAAATGCACCGAAATTTGCGTGGAAAGGATGCTGTTTGGGACGAGCTTAAAGAAGATGTGGTATACAAGGTAGACTAGAAGCATCAGTGGGAGGGACGGGTGCCCGCATGGCTGTGTATGAGAAGATTCAAGTCTAACACTTCAGTGAAAGAGATTCCAGTATTTTGCATGCATAATGACAACACATGCAGACTTCAGCGTTAAATCTGTATGCACCCATCTTGATGAAGCCCATGAGCCGCGCCCTCGCTCCCCTTGTTACTCAGGTCACAGCGCAGGGAGAAACGCTGGCGGCAAAGATCTTCGACTGCTTCCCCTTCCACGAAGCCTGTGGAAACATCATTGCGACCAGTCTCTTGGGTCCGGTACGTCCTAGTCCTCCTTCTTCCTCTCCCCCCCACATCTCCCCTTCCTCCTCGCCTGCTCCTTGTCGTCCCGTCTCCGTTTCCATCACCATTTTTCTCCGCCCTTGATCACAGCTATTCCACTTACCCTAACCCCTTACCTCCTTCCTTTTCTTTCCTTTTTCATCTTCCTCCCAGGGCGGAGGCGGCCCTTTTTACGTCCGCACGCTGGACATAGGTCGTAGCGTGGACGAGAAACACTACATCATTCTTATGGAATACCTAAAGCACGACGCCGAGGTGGGTGGGGACCCTTTCCCTCCCTCTTCCCTATGTTAGGGTTAGGGCTAGGATTAGGGTTAGGGTTACCGCGACCACAATCTTCATCCTTTTAATGCCCCTTTCCTCCTCGTCCACACTGTGCCTGAGATATCCTCCTCCCCTCCACCATTATTCCTTCTGTCCCTTTCCTCCCCCTTCCTCCCCTCTTTCCTATCCCCTTCCGCTCCTTTCATTCTTTCAACACTCCAACCGACCTTCCGTCTTCTCCCCCCCACCGTCCCTCTCTCGACTGATACAGGTGATCGATCTTGACGAGCCCTCAAATCTCTTCACTCTTCTTTATCAGGTCGTTTATTGCCCCCCTTGTTTCCTCTCCTCCCCCCCAGTTTTTTCTTTCTCTGTCTTTCCTTGCTTTCTGTCTTCTCCCCGCTTTCCGCGCCCCGTTTTTTTCTTTTTCTGAGCATAGATGCCTCCTTTTGGATCAACCTTCCCTCCCTTTCTCCCTCTGTTCTTCCCTTCTTCCCTCCCAATGTCTCTCAGGTCGCCTACGGTGTTGAGCAGCTCCGACGCGCGGCCCATCTGCAACATTTTGACCTTCGGTAAGGATATTATCTCTTCCTCGTGTCGCTCTTCCGACTTATATTTCACTTCTCCCTCCTTCCCTCAACGCTTCCCTCCCTCCCTCCCTCCCTCCCTCCCTACCTCCCTCCCTCTTTTCCTGCCTTCTGCCTCCCACCTACATTGGCCTTTAATCTCATCCTCTTCCCCCTCTAACCCTAACCCTCATCCTGACCCCAACCCTTAGTTTTGACAACATCATGGTCAAACTCCTCCCTGAGCCCAAAGACATCTTCCAGAACGGCGTTCTCTCCTCTTTCATCGTCAAAATCGGGGATTTCGGACAGGTCTTTCCTCTTCCCTTCCTTCCCTTTCCTTCTTCCTCCCCTCCTCCCTCCCTCGTTTCCGCATTTGAGTATTTGCCACCACCTCCTGTTTGCTCTTTCATCAAGTCAGAACGCACGGCCAAAGCCGAGGGCACAATGTCTGCGAGCTGCTTCCTTCTTTCCTTGACATTTCATACCTCTTCATTTCTCTAAATCCTCCTCAGTGCGAATTCGACTTTCCCTTTCCCTCCTCCTCCTCCTCCTCCTCCTCCTCCTCCTCCACCTCCACCTCCACCTCCACCTCCTCCACCTCTTGCTGCCCACAATATCTGCCACAAGTCGAGGCTGGGAAGGCCCAATGTAACGGAAATGGAAACGCAGCTGCCGTCACTGCTCCTCACCGACCAATAAATACCGATATTCCCCGAGAACCCGAATTCACCCGAAAATGGGGCGCCTATCCTCGGACGTACACAGGTATGATCTGTCCTCAGTGCTCTATGCCCTTCGTGCTCGTCTCCTCATCTTTTCCTTGTTCTCTCCTTCCTTTCTTCCCTCTCTTCCTTCACTTCTGCCCATAGGCTACGATATTCAGTACTTTTTAGGCACCTTAACTCCTGTCCTAGGTTCCCTCCATGGACTCGATTTTTACTATATTTACAAACTGACGCTAGCCTTCCTTCAGCCCTGCTCCTTCACGAGTGCGCAAGACAGGTCCTTTGCTTTCCTGCCTGTCCTTGCCCCGTTCCGTCCTTCTCCCTCTTTCTTTTGCCCCTCTCCTTTGTTTTTCTTTCTTCTGTGCCTTCGGTTGACTTCCTAACGTCTTGTCCCCGGCAAATGAGACTGAATTTTAATGCCTTATTCTGCCTTCCTCGTCCTTTCCCTTCCTTTCTCCCTCCCTCCTGCCCTTCCTTCCTCCCTCCCTCCCTCTCCCCAGGCCGGTCCACATCACGAGCCGGATGCCCGTCGATGTCCTTCGTTTCCTGAAAGAAGAAATCATGCCAACCCTCTAAGGCGAAGGGAAACAGTGAGGGAGGGAGGGAGGGACGGAGGAAGCGAAGCGCAAGGCAGGGCAAGGAAGGAGTGGAGGGGGTAATTTTGGGGGTGGGGGCTGAGGAGCGGATGGACCGATGAATAGACAGGACGGAACGGCAACACATGGTAAAATTCATCAAATAAAGAACAACAGTGATGGCATCAAGAAAATGAAGAACAGTGATGGCATCAAGAAAATGATTAATGACCAAGAATCATGAAAGAAAGAAAACACGTATGAAGGGATGGCGCCCCTGTACGTTTTGCATGTCGAGGAAGCCCCACCGTACCTTGACCTATCATATTCATGGATCAATCACTACCACTATAAATGCATCCATTCAACACACGACCACGCAAATCGGTTCCCGTGAACCCTCTCAGGACCCCTTTGTGGCTCGAGCCCTCCATTCCCTATCGTCCTCGTGTGCGCTTGTTGCCTGGCCTCCCTGGTACCTCGGTCCACAAGGATCGTTCCCAGGCCTCGATCCACAAGGATCGCGCCATCCGCCTCCTTGTGGATCGCGCCATCCGCCTCCGCTTTCCTCCCCCTTTTCCTCCCCCTTTCCCTCCCTCCCTCCCTCCTTATCCTTCCCCCCCGCCCCTTCCACCATCTCTTTTCCCTTCCTTCCCTTTCGGCCCCCCTCTCCCTCCCATCCTTCCTTCGTTCCTTTCTTCCTCCCTCCCTCCCTCTCTCCCTTTCTCTATCCTCCCTCCCTCCCTCCCTTCCTTCCTTCCTCTCCTTCCCTCCCCCCCTCCCTCCCTCCCTTCCTTCCTCTGTCCGCACCAAGCTTCGGACGCGGTGGCTACCCCGTCCTCCCTCCCTCCCTCCTGCCTCACCACCCTTCCTCCTCTTTCCTCCGGGCAAAGCCATCCAGCGCCTTCTCCCAGCGGGACAAGGTCAATCCCTCAGGCACGTGGCAGCAGTACACGCCTAGCCTGCTCACGTCTAAGGGAGGGAAGGAGGGAAAGAGGGTATACATGAAGGAGCGGACTGGAGACGAAGGAAGGAGGGAGGAAGGAATGAAGGATAAAAGG